TTTGGGAACATCATATTATCAGAAGCATCCATCTGAGTTGCAAATCTTCTTTGCCATATCAAAACTCATTTACTTTTATAGAGAGGTAAATTTCTGAAGTGACCATCATTTCTAATTTATGGATTTTTGATAAATCAGTCTGACAGAAATAATTAAATTTTCGACTTCTAAATACAAGTTCAAATAATCTCATCTTCTTAGTAGTAAATATGAATTATATTAAGAGAAAATTTAAGTAACCCTCATCCCCAATCGACTCCTTTTTAGCAAAACAACACTGTCGACGATGAAATGTATATCATATTTACTACATATCCATTCTGTCAACAAATGACATTGATACAATGTAGACCATAATTGTCAAATACGAACTGCTTTTTGATACACGTATTTCAGACATCCTAATATTAAACAACAGTTAAGACAATGAAAGATGAGGCAATTGCAGTTATAAACCGACTCAGAGTACAGTAAGTTGACACAATTCTCATTGGTATGATAGAAATAGACGAAAGAGATAGATACACACCTATATCACACTTATGTATAAAAAGTGCTCAAGGTTACACAAAAATAAATGACGGAGCGAAATATGTGGAAGAATAACTGGAAAAACTAGAATTATTTGTTTGTCCCAAATTTTCTGGTTAGCGTTTTTTTAGTGAGTTAGCTTTTCTACGGGATGGGGTCACTAACCCCATGCCCAAACCTCCTCCTTTACCCGGGTTTGGGACCGGCAGTAACTCTAGAAGAGCTACAGGCGGAGTTGTTTGTCCCAAAGTTAGAATATCTGTTTTTTCTTAGTTTATTTTCACTATTATTATCAATCTATCAATACATATTATATATAGCTGAGTTTGATGTATAAATATGTTTGCACAACAAAGAAATTCGTACTATGAATATTGGAGTGCCTTAAACATTGATCAGGTCATTGTTATCATTCATTGTTAAAGTGTATCTTCAACCTCATTCAAGCTAATAATTTCATGGGAAATAAGATCTGTCCCATTTAGCTTGGTTATGAGATAAATCAGTGTTATACATTATATGACTAATGTACATAATTCAGCCTCGTATACTTAGCCATCCGGCGTCCTTTAAGTACAAATTCTAATGTTGTGTCAAACAACTATTTAAACAGAAGTAAAATGAGAATTCTAAATTGATCTGGTGAATGAGAGCATATACTTTCATCTACGATCTACTGGTCATTAGTCTATTTGACTAGTAAAATTCAATTGATAAGGAGATGTAGAACTTACTTCATTAATTACCATTATTTAACCTCAGATTATATTTTCCTAATTCAAATAAAGTTAAGTAAAATGATCGAATTTATTAGTTAACCGCTTTAAAGACTATTTTTATCATCGATCAGTATTTGTTAGAAAACACTAAACAATTGCTTATACGGATATTCGCTGATAATTAGACGAATAGTTTGACAGAAATAGGGAGCCGAATATATGTTATTTGTGAAAATTAAATTCAAAAATAATCTCAGAGATCGAAATTTAAATAATTCCAACATTTTGTTCAACATATTTGTTTGGACTCCACTGGTCACTGCTTCTCACTAGAGCTCCTGGATATACTTCTCGAAGTCACTAGTGAGCATATGATTATATTAATTATCAGAAGGGGTTTTGTGGAGATTTAGTATGTTTCATAGTTGAAAGCGTGAGTCAATTGAAGCTAGACCACCATCGAAAACCTGGAAACACTGGACGATCGTTTCGTCCTATTATGGGACTCCTCAGCAGTGCGCATCCACCATCCCGCACTCGCGAGACTCGAACCCTGGACCTATCAGTCTCGCGCCAGAGCACTTAACCGATAGGCTACTGAGCTGGCCGACATCCAACGGTGTTAATGTCTAACTTCAACTGATCCACGAAGTTGAGCAACCGTTCACCAATTGTCTTCAGTGAGTTCCTATCTCACGACGGACGTGGTTTGAATAATAAATCTTTACTATGATTATCCAATCATAAATAGATGTTGACTTTAGTAAGTAGAATAACATCAGTCATTTATATGCGAATCAGTATAGGGCTGTGGAGATTGTTGAGTTTAAATTGATATTATGAATGGATGAATGTTAGACCACCGTTTGATGCTAGTTCTAAAGGTTAAGTGTTCGCGCGCAAGAAATCAGGTCTTGAGTTCGTGTCCCGCGTGCGGGATCATGGATGTGCACTGCAGAGAAGTCTCATACTAGGACAAAGTGGACTCCATGTGCTCCCAGGTTTCGACTAGTGGCCTAACATTGATCCAGTCATGATATATGCGAATGATGTGAAAATTTTATAATCTGAAGTTAAATAAATGAATGATCATGTGTATGTGTGTATGTGTAAGTTTCAGTTAATAATAGTTGATGTTAGTTGTTAATTTGTCTTCATATAATGTGAAAATAAAAATACAAGTTGAAGGGTGAAATCGTTTCTGAATCGTCGATGTGCATGTAAAACGAGAACCATCAAATACATAATTCCAATGCTATAATGTCCTAGATTAATTTCTGTCAGTATAACGATATTGTTTCATGTTTTACTGGAGGAAGTTACCTTTTGATCTTATCACTACATATCAGTATGCTAACTTTTAGGTCTTAAGATACGACAAAGTAATTGGCACTAAATTCAATGAATTGTATCTCTCCCAATTTTACAAAACACTGTATTTTCAAACAAACTATAAACTGTTAAATGTTTTCATTAATTAATTACTTAATAACAATCAATAAGAAATCCAAGATCTATTATCAAATCAAAATGGTTACATCTCATTCTTTAGACTGAAACATTTGATTAAAAAATCTAGATGATATTACTGAATTGAAGGTGTCAGATAGAGATTTATAAGTGAAACTGTGTAATTTTAAGAAGTACCCTAAATTAGATTAGTATATATATTTATACAGGTGCACCAGCCCCGACACATTCTGCCTAGTTCCCCTTGCGAAGGAGACGATGGACACAACCAACCGGGAACTGCAGACCAGCACGGGCTGATCGCGTTTTGGCCTTAGCAAAAGACTTTCCACCTTTACACACGTCCACTGATTATCCGTAAGATTTATATTCACTGTGAATTTATGAAATATTTACGGTATTTGTTTTAACATTGCCCTGATTGTAAGTTATTAAATGTTGATGTATTTTTTAACACTAACAAGTTACAGTTAACTGATTATGTATTCCTCAATGTTGAAAGCGTGAGTCAGTTGAAGCTAGACCACCATAGAAAACCTGGAAACACTGGACGGCCGTTTCGTCTTATTATGGAACTCCTCAGCAGTGCGCATCCACTCCGCTCTCGCGAGATTCGAACCCAGGACCTACCAGTCTCGAGCCGAAACCCTTAACCGATAGACCACTGAGCTGGCCGGCATCCAACGGTGTTAATGTATAACCTCAACTGATCCACGATTATGTATTCGACACTTGGTTACGTAACATAAATAACCTAGTTATGTATAGGTTATGTTTTTATCACTAATATTGTATTGTGTTGTGATCTGATAATGGATATACATTATCATATGATTTTTGAGTCAACATCACAATGTAACAAAAAATAACAAATCAACTTCTCTGTATACATGTTTTTTTAATTAGGTATTGTGAACAGAAAGAATTTATAAAAGGCTAATCAATATAAACACTTTGAATGGGGATTAATTGATTACATTGAGAGTCATTAATATTATTGAGCATATAGTAAACTTATCAATTATGGACTTAATAGTTTTTGATGTAGGTTTGTTCTTTGAGCTGGATGATTTGGTCATGAAGCTTTCATCGTCCTTCTAAACGACATCATCAGCACAGCCCGAAGTTTGTGCTGATGATGTTGTTCAGAAGGTCGATGAAAGCTTCACGGCCAAACCATCCAGCTCAGAGAACAAACCTACATCAAAATCACCCACCTGAGCCACAAATCGTCTCCACTTAATAGTTTAATGAGCATATCAAATATCAGCTGATAATATAAAGATGATGTGTGGGTGAGAATGATAATGATTGACTGTTTTGATGAGTCAGAGATGTAGATAGTGTGACAGGTGTTATATGTGGTTATATATTCCCCTATCCTGATTATTAGTGATTGACTGTACTTGTTGTTGGATTGTGTCGGATTTTGGTGTGGAAATATATTGACTTTATCGTCAGATTAATCTCGTTTTCTTGATCTGAGTTGTGTTGAAGTCTTGTAGAATAGACACTGGGTGGTAATATAGTGTAGATATTCGTCTAAGGTAAATTAACGTCCAACATACATGTAAAAAGTTAGAGGACTGTTATAACAAGTATCCTACCTAACAAAAGATGAATAATTTAATAGGAATCATTCATCGATAATTACAAATACTACTTTTTGTTTTATACGCTAACTATTTTTATTCATTTATTTTCATAGTTGAAAGCGTGAGTCAATTGAAGCTAGAACACCATCGAAAACCTGAAAGCACTGCAAGGCCGTTTCATCTTATCGTTAAACTTATCAACAGTGCGCATCCACCATCCCGCACTCGCGAGATTCAAACCCAGCACCTACCAGTCTCGCACCAGAGCACTTAATCGATAGACCACTGAGCTGGCCGACATCCAACGGTGTTAATGTCTAACTTCAACTGATCCACGAAGTTGAGCAACCGTTCACCAATTGTCTACAGTAAGTCGATAACTCACAACAGACGTGGTTTGAACTCCACTGGTCACTGTTTCTCACTAGAACTCCAGGAAATACTTCATAGAGTCAGTCACTAGTGAGCATATGATTATTAACAGAAGGGATTTTTTGTAAATTTATTATTTTCATAGTTGAATGTGTCAGTCCATGGTGGTCTAGCTTCAATTGACTAACGTTTTCAACTATGAAAATACTAAATCTCCACAAAACCCCTTCTAATAATAATAATAATATTTATTTATTGTTTTGTTAATTTTAACTTTATTTTTGCTTATTTCTTTTTTGGTTTTTCAATATAGAGATGGTTAAGACTATTTGATACAAATGATAAAGGCATAATTACAATTGAAGATGTCAGTCGTACTCTGGGTGTACCACCTCCGAAATTTTACGAGTAAGATATATGGATAATTCTTTTAAATATAAACCTTTCATGGAATAAATGAATTAAATGGTATTGCTGATTTGATTACTGACATACCTTATTTGTTTAAAACTTTATAGGAGTAGTACTTTGTGACTGATTTGGCTTGACTAGATCCATAACATTCGATCACATAGATCTACCAGATACAACAAAGTTTAACGTTAGGAATTCATCTTGAAGTCAGTTACTGATGAGACATTGCATACAAGTAGAATTCAGGTATATCGAATGAGAAACTTCCCTATTAATTATATATTATAATTGTCACTCTGTATAGTGAAACCTCTGGAATTTGAAATAGCGATCATTTGATTGCAACTAAATGGCCTAAAAGTAACTTGCTTGCTTGAAGCTTTTGGATTTTATTCCTGCTGTGGTTATGAATGGATACTACCAAAGAGCTTATTATGCGAACGAACCAGCCACTCAATTTATCCAAGTCACTTAGCTTACACAGCGGAAATTATCATCGAAATTTATTGGGAAATTTAATAATATTTGATGTCAGATGATTAAAAGATATCTGCGACAGTCTTTGTGTAATAAATATTCCGTGCTAGTTACCATTTGTCAATAAGACTCACTAGGAACGTCGAACGATTTAACATTCTCTAAGATTTTCCAACCTATGTTACCTAGAGTCTTAGTTACAGATTATACGATTTGAACTATTTCGGTCGTGCAAACGGTAATCATAAAGTATTTTTTCCTTAGATTTGTGTTATGATAATTTGCTATATGAAAAATGATCAGATTAAAATCATCATTTTAGAGTTATTAGTACATTCCTGATATTTGCTTTTATAAAGTAGTCAGTTTTTAAGAAACAGTTTTAGCTATAGCAAGAATTAATATACTAAAACTATGGGAAGAGATTGAACTTTATAGCTTGGGTTAAGCCTGGGCAGTGTCTGGCTCTCCTGTTAAACGGGATTGAGCTGTACTGTTTGGGTTGCCGCTTAAAAGTCTGGATGGTGTCTGGTTCTCCTGAAAACCAGTGCAAAATTACCCTGGCCTATAAGGGTATATTATAATAATAACTGTATTTCAACCCCTTTAAGCTTTGTACATTTTTAGTTTTCTCTTTTATTATACATGGTAATAATGTATAACAATTTGAACCAGTGTTAATTCATGGCACGTTCTAAATTGGTACTAAAACTACCAAGTGATACGATTCAAAGATTGTTATTTGAAGAAAAAAACAATTTCATGCCTGACTTATATTGGGTCACGTATGACTAGACCGTGATGACAGGAACTTCTTTCTAGTTGGATTATCGACTAGTCCATCCATTTTGCGACTAGAACCGTTGACTTTCCATTATTGGATTCATCCATCAACCAATGAACAACAACCATAACTTTAACGCTTATTGGTCTTCAAACATTACCTAACCAAATGGGCACTCATAAGATAAAGAGAATATCAATTCACCGTGGTACTTATTTCACTTGTTACTCTGAACTTATACACCAATATACCTGAAATGTCTGACAACCAAGCAACATAATTAGAAAATTACAGAGTTTACATAGCCTGCATATATAAAGTCAGCGAAATAAGAGAATAACTAACCAATGACAAATCTGGAATAATGACTTGTAAAACAACGATGTATCCAACAAACGATAGGAGAATATAAAAATGTAACAGTTCAGACGTCTAGTAATTATGCATTAAAAATACAAATGATAATCCTTTGTATGATTGTCTCACAAGTTATACTACCTCACTATTTATCCCATTGCGTTAATAACAACCATACTAATACTGAACTAGATTAGAATCATACGTATGTTTAAAAGTGTAAGCTGTTAAAATCCTGGTGACTAATGAAATGAATCCAGCTCCTTCATGTGAACCTACTAACTCATGAAGTTAAGCATACTGGACGTTTCAATATGATTTTATTAAATAATTCGATGATATTATTAAAATATCATCCAAACGATAGTAAAATTTGTTCCTAGAATATGTTGAAAGTATTAGTTAGATTGACCAGAGTGTCTAGTTGGATACTTTTATTCTAGAATAGTGTTAAAACTTTCATAGAAAACTAAGTGCTTTTTTCTTAACTGAATAAATTTTAATAAATAATCTTGAGATGGTGGAGAAGATTTGTAGCTCAGGTGGGTGATTTTGATGTAGGTTTGTTCTCTGAGCTGGATGGTTTGGTCGTGGAGCTTTCATCGTCCTTCTGAACGACAACTTCTACCTGAAGTTTGTGCTGATGATGTCGTTTAGAAGGACGATGAAAGCTTCATGACCAAACCATCCAGCTCAGAGAACAAACCTATATCATAATAAATAATCTAGATGACAATTCATCTAGCTCGATACTGGTATGATAGAGGAATGGAAATAATATACTAAAGTATTACATACAGCTGAAGTGTCATATATTTTCCTACATTTTGTATTTCTTTTCGTAAATGTAACTTGGATATATAAAGATATCTCGATAAGTATATATGATTATAACGGTGTTCGCAATATCATTCCCACATTTTTAATTCTATATATATTCAGTCGAATCATTAAAATTTGATAAGTTATTATCTATATAAATCACTGTTATATCATTTCAATTAAGATTAGATACAGGCCTACATCAACTTTTACTTAAAGAACAACTGAGTGTTCCAAGAGGGCATACAATAATACTTCAAAATTGATTATCCACACCTTAATATAAGCGAAAGAAGATAGTACATTCAGGATAATTTTGCATTCGAAACAGAAGTCAAAGCTTAAAATAGAACAGATCTGCTACTATAGTAAGACCCTATAAATCATCTTAGGATCCAACTAAATTAACTTTCTAAAGGCTACAGTAGTTATTCAGATAAAAGCTAAAGTCACTGTGGAGATATAAATCAGAAATATGTCTTCAAGGTTATCTTTTCAAGAAGGAACCTACATTTAGTAACAAATAAAGAATAACACAAACTCTCGTTAGTACCCATTTACAAAGTACAGATTTGTGTGCTTTCCTTTAAGCCATACTTTAAATAAAGACTGGTAATACTGCAGAGAATCTTAAGATTTAATGACTGAAAGTCAAGTCCTTTGATTATCAATTCACCGCTTCATTTAAAAAGTAAATGATAAAACTAAGACACACTCATCTCATCCCATATTCTAAGATTAGAATTTCCAAAAAGTTCATATTACTTAATTCTACTCATCACTCTAAGTAAGAATAATTGCTGTTAAAACTATTGGTAGACTGAAACAAAACAACACAGTACCAGATCAATCTTTCTTTCTAAACTTAATCCATCTAGGTAAAGATGGATAGTGGCTAGCAGTGGAATCCAGGACGCGTTTTCCGTCCTACTTGGGACTCATCAGCTGGATGTACCTGCATCTCAGAGTTGATGTTCACTCTGGGACTCGAACCTAGTATCTTTCGCTTCAAACGCCATTGAGTTATCCACTCAGCTAAATAGTCCTGATAGCCACTTGCTTGTGCAATGGAATGGAGTTTAAATTCACTTAGTATAGTTTTTTTAATCATTTCATTGATGCGTTAGGACTGCAACTGTTCAGTCTCTTATTGGCCATATGTGCATACTGTGTGTATTGCCTCGATATAGACTTAATTCACAAGTATTTTAAGCAAAGATGGATGGATTAAGGCTATATCGAGGCACAACGCACAGTATGCACGTATGCCAAGAACAGACTGACTAGCTGCAGTTCTAAACATCAATGGGAAGATTAAAACAAACAATACTAAGTGAATTTAATCCATCTAGTATATAATTTAATTTCATATTCAGTAGACTAATTTCAAGTATACAATCAACTCACATTTTCAACTATGAAAATACTAAATCTCCACAAAATCCCTTCTCTTAATAATCAAATGCTCACCAATGACTGAATTGAAGAGATATTTCGTGGAGTTCTAGTGAGAAGCAGTGACCAGTGGAGTTGAAGCCACGTCTGTTGTGAGATGTCAACTGACTGAAGACAATCGGTGAACGGTTGCTCAACTTCGTGGATTGGTTGAAGTTAGACATTAACACCTTTGGATGTCGGCCGGCTCAGTGGTCTATCGATTAAGTGCTCTGGTGCGAGACTGGTAGGTCCTGGTTTTGAATCTCGCGAGTGCGGGATGATGGATGCGCACTGTTGATAAGTTTAACGATAAGATGAAACGGCCTTGCAGTGCTTTCAGGTTTTCGATGGTGTTCTAGCTTCAATTGACTCACGCTTTCAATTATATACATATATCAATTCTCATATGACTATTCATTACATAATAAATCATTTGATTAAATGTGTTATTATGCTTATACATATCCAATAAGTTAAATAATCTAATCTCATAATGAATCCTACTAGATAACATGGATCAATTAAGTTGTCTCAAGTAACATTCTTATCATGATTAACAGTAGAATATCATGTATGAATCTAACGATCAATCATAACTAAATCTTGACAAGTTCCATTCATCATGATACTTTAATAGTAGATTACTAAATTGATTTATATAATTAATTAATAAGAGGTTAAAAATAGAGAGAAAGGTCTTGATATTGTTCTGTATTAGTTAATTTTAACAGTAAACATTCTAAACAAAGATGGCTGGTGGCTAGCAGTGGATTTTAAGACATTCGCCACTTCGTCCTATTTAGGACTCATCAACTGGATGTAACTGCATCCCAGAGTTGATGTTTAACATGAATTTAAACTTCACCCCATTGCACAAACAAGTGGTTATCAGAACTTAGTATTTAAGTGAATAACGTAATGCTGTTTGAAACTAAAGGTACTGGGTTCGAGTCCCATAGTGAATATCAACTCTGAGATTCAGGTACATTCAGCTGATGAGTCTCATATAGGACGAAGTGGCATGTGTCCTGGATCCCACTGCTAGCCACTAACCATTTTTGCTTATAATACTTGTGACTTAAGGCAATATCTAGGTAATCCACATAGGATGCACATA